TGATATAGCGCATTATGGTGTGACAATGGAAGTACAACAGGAACTGTTTATGGTACCCCAGGAATATTCATTAGCGCATTGTGTTGCCCAGGATCTAGATATGACCAGAGGCATTGGTGTTGTATTCAAGAGCAAATACGGGAGAATAGAAGAACTAGAGAACCAGCAACCGGAAATTGGGAAGGTTTTGCAACTGCGTGACGTGAGTAGATATGTGTATTATCTCATCACAAAAAGTAAGCCACATCACAAGGCCTCCTATCAGGATATCTGGGAAACTTTGATAGAATTACGCCAACAAGTTCTGCAAGACAAAGTCCAGAAGCTTGCCATGCCCACTGGGATGTAGTTTTGATGGACTGGACTGGAGAATAGTGAGAAGCATGTTGGAAGTACTCTTCCGGTACACTGGGGTAAAAATCTTAGTCTGCAGCTACCATCATGGAATATCAGCTTATCCGAAGAAGACAATAGACTGTCAATTCTTCTTAACCTCCAACTGCAATATAGGCTCCAGCTGCAAATATCTGCAGGATTTCACTAAACGCGCTCCGGGACGGATCTGTTTACGGCAATGTAACGAATATTGCATGACCTGCCGGAATTCGTTGCGCGCGGATTGCGTCATCTGCCGACGCAATCGCTTTCCCTTCTCTCGCATTCCCTTCCCCCCGAACTAGACGGTTCCGGAATATTCGCGAGTCGCGGGGAAACGCGGAGAATGTGCCTGGTGCCTGGAGACGAGCGCCGTGCAAGTATAAATGCGCCGCTGCCGGCGGTCGCGAGTCAGTTAGTGAGTAGTGAGTCAGTAGAAGTCAGTGAGTAGCAGAGTTCATTGAATGAGCAGTCAGTGTGTCTGAAGTGGAAGCTGTGCTGTGAAGTGTGCATTGCGGTGAACAGCAGTCAGCAGTCTGAAGTCTGCAGTGGAAGCTGAGCTGTGAAGGGTGCATCGTGGTAAATAGCAGTACAGTGGACTCTGGTGTGCACAGGGAATTGTGGTCTGCGCAGGGAATTGGGTCAGTGCAATGGACTGTGGACAGAGCATCGGACTGGGTGATACTGTAGAAGAAGAGAACAGTGTAAATAAATACTGAGTAAGAAGTGAACTGTGTAAGGAAAATAATCAAGAGAACGGAGTCGTGTGTAAAGAAACATAATTAAGTGTAATATATCTGTAAATAGACCAAATAGATTTTAGTGTGTAATTGTTCACGAATAAACGTTTCTGTTTAAATAATACCAGGTTTTGTGTATTTTAATTCACCCCGAGAAACGTTACCGTATTATACAAGGTGTGTTAGAAAAGTAATGATACTGATTTTATACTAAATAAATTTTTTATTTTTTTCAAACAACAATATGATCCCCTTCAAAGTACTTCCCTCGAGCAGCTATACACTGGCGGAGTCGTTGTTCCCACTCTTTGTAGCAGCGCTGGAAGTCTTCAACTGGAATGGCTTTTAACTGG